ATATATATACATATCTGTTTTGAAAATACCCTGTAGTAAATGCTTGAAAAGACGAAACTGACGATTTTCGATGAATTTGCTTACAACATTCAATGATACGTGAAAAGAGAAAGCAGAGCTTTCTGTTCCTTTCGGCCTTTTTGGCGTAATATATGTCCGGGGCATAATTTGGCTGTTTTTATGATTAACATCACCACCGGCCACACACAGTAACCACCCAAATTACTCCCCCTCCACCCCACCCCAAAAAAAACTATAACAAAAAGGAAAAATTTTTTTCCGAAAACGATTCGGGTTTAAGCTAATTAAAAAGCTCAACTGCAGCAGACGACATTAGTGTCAATCTGCGAAAAAGTTTACACACTGAACTAATGAAAAGTCAGTTTGTACATAGCGTTCACTATATCCTCCTAGCATAAAATAGTTGGGTTGAATCTCAATGTACAGCACAAATCAAACCAAGAACTGGATAGAACGTTATCATATAATAAATAGGGAAATAGATAAAAAAAAATTAAGCAAGTAATGGCGGATAGATAGTATTCACGTTTAGATCAGCCTGCGCAACAGTACATTGTCGAGTATTACATTGAAAATGAGCGAAATAATATATTTTCAGACCGAGAATAGTATACATCCACACATAATAACATATATATATAAACATCCCGTGTATCACAGAAAGGATAGTTGGAGATGTTATAGAAACACGAGGCAATTAAAGAAACAACCAAAATCGTCCCAAAGATAACAATGTGGTCCTATCAATAACTGAAAAGGCCCTTTAGAGGTCCTGTTCGGTCGTACAAGATCGATATGGTTCAACCTGTTATTTAGTATCTCGATACGATTTTTTGTGCGTAGTAACTTGACGAACATATAAGAGATTATCTCGTAACAATTATCATACGATGATATATTGATTTGTGTGATTCTGAGATTACGTCGTAAACTTATTTGGTTCAATAGACTGAAAAACGTGGCATAATATCAACGAAACAAATAATACTATTTATATTACTATTTTACTTACGGAGCTGTCTCTGCGGCCTGTCTCAAATTTATCATTACATTCACCAAAAATAGGATTGTGACATGTAGGTTTCCGTCACCTTATGTATATATGTACCTAGTCGCCTATGTCAGTGTTTTATATAGGAGATTTCAGTATTTAACGCGGCGTACGAAAAGAGTCGGAACTATATCTAACGATAGACACAGTTGAACATACTCTGGTTTTAGATGTCCAACAGCAGTGACTGCTAGTAAATCCTAAGTTTCACGGGAATATGAAAAGTTAGCGGAGGAAGAAAACATGATAAAATATAAATGGAATCATCTCAGTTTGGCTTCAACATGAGATCCAGCCAGCAGAGCCCATCTCTAAAGAAAAGCTTAGCAAAAAAATTATAGAAACATCCGCGATACTACAGATAATGCCAAAGAGGTAAAGGGTGTACAATTCAGTTAGGAACTTTGTTGTCCATGATCGTACTGACGGAGCTATAAGCAAGGAATCTATTTCATAGGTACGGTCTGTGTAAATAAAATAATATTTAATATATATATATATATCTCTAGGTAGCTAAGTGCACGAGATATCTAATTATAGCTATGTCATCGACGGAATAATAAAAGATAAAGCGCAAGAAGCTGTCTCTTTTTCATTACGAAACAAATTGTATAGATAGATAGATAGATAATACGATAAATTTCGTGTCGGGAAAAGTTGGCAATTTGATATTGAAAGGACGCGAATCGTTGGTGTGTGCTATCCTGTACTATGGCAATCGTCCACATAAGATTTAATAGACAGGTGGGGATTTGCGGTGGGGAAAACGCGGCTCCGTCAATAATTTTTGCCAATTGATTTAATGAATAAAAAAAGTTCCCATTCGAGCTCAGTGCACACTCGTCGGCCACCTGCGCAATCTACAAATTGTGCATAGCTCTAGCTATATATTCAATGGGAGCGCGTATCTTTTCCTCTTCAAATTCTCAGAGTATGGAATTGGTTTTAGTGCTGAAGTTAATGAAAAAGAAATATTGAAACTTTCATCTAGTGACCATTGCTGGGTTCCGTCTAAACAGCATGTAATTTATTAGGGGTGTCTTTCAGAGCACTAAGAACGATACGTATCCATATAACTATGCGTTCATCTAGATCACACAAACTCTATTGTAATTCTTTAACATTGAAGCTAAATCCATCATAATATTTAGATAAAATAGCTTTTCGACTTTGTAAAACTTTGGGTATTCGCTCTTAAATCTTATTCAAGTTTCCGATCTTTTAGTTCTTCTCTCAGCGATGTATGGCCGGTTACCAGTGATTGTTACTTCATTCAACTTAAAAAAAAGTTCGCGGTAAAGTTCGCTTCTTAAATACTGTGCCAATAGCATTGTAAATAAATCTATGCTAAATTGTGATTTTCGGTGCAGTCATAAGTGACAACGGCTGGTACCACGAAGCAGAAAACGCACAGGACAGATATTTGGTGTACTTGCACGTAGCAGTATGCAATAGTGGGCGATCATGCACGCTTAATACGTCTTTTTATGTTCACATGAATAGAATATAAGAACGCTTCTCTTGGCTGGCGGATACATAATCGTCGCTCATAAGACCGTTCTAGGCAACCAGATGCCCTGAGCCAGTAAAAGTGAGTCTTGAGAATTGGCCTACCGCTTATACATTTTATATATAGAAACTAGGCAATAAATAGCATACAAACACATCGCTATCATCCGTACTATAAACTATTTTGCATAGATACTGTTTCGTCACATGACTGCAAAAAGTCCTTACATTCTGCCAGAGCATGTTATTAATATGATAAAAGAACTAGTTTCAATTAAAGTATAACTAGTATTCGTTTAAAGGGCTATTCTCAACTTAGATGTATGTTCATCACATTCTTCAGAGGCGCACTTTGCAGGCTAATTTCTGGAAAATAGATACTCTTTTGAGAGATAAGGACGTGCAAGGACGAGAGCACCGACAGGCTGCTATTTCTCCACTTCATCCTGACGGGGTTGAGCGCATTTCTGAACACCCAGTATGGTCGATTTGTATAAACTTCACCACGTATTAGCGTCAGATTATTCAACATCACCCGTACACTGAAGCGCTGCATGATCTTCGCAACGCAGACGTTGAATGAAAAGTAGGCCATTCGTCGAGGACTGCTGCTATCATGAAATAAATGCTTTATGATGGGAAAAACTGGATCCGAGTGCGTGATGGAAGTTATGAAGTTATCAGAGGAGGAAGAGTGAAGAGGGCATTGCCGACTTCCCCAGCGTTGCGTCGAATGTAGGTAAACGTCTCCCCCGGAGTCGAGGTTCTATTAAACCTAAATGAGAAAAATTATAAACCAAGCACCGACCTAGAACTAGGCACGGAGAACTAAGTGAGCACTGCGACTAAAGAAAAGTTGGCCACCGTCAGACTACGCCGACAATGGGAGAGCTTAGTATCTTGAATAACAACTACTCATTAACTTTGCATATAGGGAAAGGGCTTGATTTGTTACAATTGAAGAGCAGCCGAAATTAAAAACAAGTAACTAACCCTTTTGCTATATATTGACAAGCATAGTACGTATTTTATAATTAGCTTCTGCAAGGGGCGAGGTATCCTTCTTCATTTTGTTTGAGTAATATGATTTCTGTTGTTATCACAACACATTGAAGAATAATGGCTTTTGGCAGCAACGTTAGAGACTCATTAGGTAAATACGGTCTTTTTGTCAACGATGATTGTAGTTAAAGCTAAAGAACTCATCGAATCAAATGAACTTAATATCGTGAAGACTTTCGTTGTGAGAAGTGATTTGTTCTTGTAATGCGACAATAGGTACTTTCGTGAAGATCTGAAGGTGAACTGCAGAAGGAGAGATACCCCAATGACGTTCGTCGTTCACTTCAGACGAGTGACACATAATTGAAACTCAAAAGCCTTTAGGGAGGTAAGGGCAGTGTCGTCACTTAACATTTACGTGATACTTAAATGGTGTCGTTCGCATGAGTTGTAATGGCACTTCATTCAGGTAATGACTCGCTTCATGTTCAACTGGAATAATAGTAACGACAAAGAGATTATTTGCTGTAGTAACAACATTTCCAACTTGCTTCTATCGGTGCTTCGACGAAACCCTATTTTCTAGTCGAGTACATATTAGATAAACAATGAGGAACAATGGTAGTCTGTTTTCTGTTTAGCTTGCTTCGTAAAACAGGCTTTCCTTAGCAATAATACCTTTGTCAAGCACTGGCATACCTTAGGTCCTGTTTGACTATAATCGGTAGTTCAGAGCATGTTAAAAGCAGATCTAATCTTCGAAGATTTCTCTTCACCTGGTAGTTAGTTTACTTGTTCTTCTATCGTTGTAACGGCGACGCCTTTTGTTCGTTGCAGAAACAGGGCTTTTCCTGATACTACGGAAATAGATACGGTTGACTTTATTTGGCAGCTGACTCTGGCCTGAAGCTAATTACAGATCGAGGTATTGCCACTTTTCGCATCCGTATTTTCATTTTGCTTTACTTCGGATATACAAACCAACCTGGCACTTTCAACGATGCCGATAGCTTCATACACCTGTACATTTCGAGAATTTAATAGAGCGAACCTGTTAAAAGCTGTCGAGCTAGATAAGATGTTGTGGTGGACTGTCTCTGATTGTTGAATCTAAATACATACTTCTTCAATAAGCGTATATATTGAATTGCTACGCACAGCTGTTCTAATGCCACTAACGTATTGACGACGGCAGTTGAATCGACAGCAGTTGAATCGACAGCTTAATCAAACACAAACAAATCTGTTCGATTGTATGTCTGAAGAGGTATACTTGGCGGGTTTTCCCGCAGCTGCTCTCTGCGTAGGAGTTAGCTTTCAGGCGATCTAGTATGCCCATCCGTCTGTCATGTTCCGCTGCCAGTTGACCAGCCGTTGGCTTAGCCTCATCCCAATGTTCGTTTTTTTTGTCCTACAGAATCCCCTACCGGGATCATCTCTCGAAAACTTCGGGGGTGACTGTTTCTCAAACACCAAAGATAACGAAGCATAGACTTTTCGAAATTGTGGAAAGGGCCGCCCTCACGCCGGGATTACCTTAGCGCAAGCAGTCCTGTAGCCGCATAGCCGTTCGCCTCATCCCGTTGCCATAGCCCTATAGCTATCCATTCTCTTTTGGACTTCCCTTTCCCGTCACGTGAGGCGCGCACGAAACGACAACTCCGCGAGCAGATTGGCGTCTTGGCGCGAGAACTGCTCCGGTGCGCTACGGAACCGGCGAAGAGTTTCAAGTAGACAGAACTAACAGAAGGCAGAGGCGCACGGATACAAGACGGTGCGGCCCGAAACGCGACCCCCGACATTGCTGATGTCTGCCGCCCGTCGGTCGCTAGTCGTCGATTTGATTTAACACATAGTGTGTAACAGGGAAGGACGGCAAGCTTTGCCCAGTGTGCGCTTTAACAAACCGAGATTATTCGATGGGGAAGCTGAAGACAGTCAGCAGAACCGACTCGGTCGCCCGGATTGATGTTTCGACCGTAGGATAGAGGCGATCTCAAGTGCGATCGTATCGCTCATCGTTGGTAATCGCGGTTGCGGTAGTCAATTTGCATTGATGACTGAAGATGATCGAAGAATCGGCGCAGTAACAATAACCATAATTTAATGTGTCTGTCTAGCACTAAACGTGGGTATGCCGATAGGAACAGCTGCCTTGTGTGATCACAATATAACGGTGAACCCGTCCCTCTACGCAGGACCAGTCGGTCTCGTTTGCAACCAGGAATATATAATTAGTGTAATAAATGAATATGCTGTGAGGATGAAGACTACTTGGAATTTACGAGTGAAATAAACTTCTGGCTATGAAACTTAACTTGAAGATTGTTAGTGACTGCATTAGGAGAGCGAAAGGCTCAACCCCGAAAGGTGAATACACACGGATTGTAACTTAATTTCATAGATCTGTGGAATAGAACTGCACAGACAAGAAAAAGGGTGAGTGTCCTAAAGGGAACAGAATTGAGTCTGAGGTGTATTTACATATAAAACTCGATGCCATCTACGCAGTGTGTGACTGGTCTAGTTGTCAACCCTACGTTAATGTCGATCACGCTTGCAGTTTTTCCTTACGGTTGTTAAATCTGACGCGTAAGAAGAATAACATTAGTTGATATCACACTGATATCAGTTATAGGCCGTAGGTCCATTCCTTGACACCTGGGTAGAAGCACATTTATCTGCAGGGGAAAGCTATTTTTCAAACTGTGCCCCTTACTCGGATATCAAAGATCAGCGATTTCTGATTGATTGGTTGCTTGCAAGCAGTACACATACGCTTTGAATGAGAAGAAACCGCTAGCATCGTCTTTATCGTTAAATTATCGAGTAAATTTTTGAATAAAAACTGAGTATATAGGACGCTGGTGCTGTGGCCAGCGGTATCATAGATGTCTTAACTGTCAGATACGATTATCTTTCTTTTAAAGGAACTTGAGGGTTATCGAAAACATCGGTGAGTTTCTATCGGATCTACTATCGATCAAAATCCAAACGCCAAATGAACGGTGTACAAATCGAGTTATTTGTTTATGCTATCGGTACTTATGACACTATCTCGAATTCGCTCGATCTTCACATTCTGCGTACTCTTACTTAATTCAAATGCTTACCATTTGATACATGTGGTAATAGGGGTGGGTGGGGTGGGGGGATGGGGGAGAGGGGAGGGGAGGGGTACTTCACTTCACTATGGCCATTATTTTTTCAGATAGAAGCTAGGCTACGTAGCGTAAAGATGCAACAAATGTATTGAGGACTCGAAGTAGCATTTGAAGACCTTTTGTTAAATAAGCTAAACGTTTTCTTAAGCTCAGACTGCGATGGAAGCCAGCTTGTATATTGTAGAATTCGGTCAGATCAGAAATAACGATTCTTGAGGCTCTCATAGAAGCGAACGTACATAGCTAAGAAAAAACAAAAGATTGTGAATCTTACAGATTCATAGTGATATCTAGGCCTATAGTGTCATCTACGAGTTATTCAACTATCATTGTAGAGCATCTTTTATTGATAGATAAATCGACAGAATACAGAATGTGACAATAATTGACTGATATTGCCACTGTTTTTGGTATCATTCAGCTTCTCGTTATTGCTCTTTTTAGTCAAGTGAACCAGAGCGGGCATTTGAAACTCGACCCAGACAGGCTCACGCACGTAGCCCTATCTACGTTGCCTGCTATGGCAACCCTCAGAACCTATCTAGAGGGCCTATCCACTGGTCAGAATTAGCTCCTCCCTAACGCCTGTCAATAAACGAGACAGTGTCGCATCGCGAACCCACTACGATATCGACCCACATACCGTAGGCCTACAGCGGTGTATTGCGAAGATCTGTCCGGATCTGCTGTATATAACTAAATCATCACTTCCACAATTTGTATAACGGAGAGCCCCTGCGCCGACTTACCATAGGGAAGGATGTCGTTATAGGAGTAAACAGATAGCACACAGTACCAAATAAACGTATGTAGCTAATATGCAAGTGGAAAAATACGCCAATTGAAGGATCATGTCGGAGACGTATAGAGGTGCCTGCATTACTCCCACAACATCAGAGGCTTCGTTATAATGAACGAGTGGATGATAACAATATCTCTGCTATACATAAAAGTAACTATTTATTTATGCTTATAGGTTGTTTATCAGTGTTTTCAAGCCACGCGGACCCTATATGTTTAAATGTGCACGAATATACTATCTGCTAGCCAAAGAGAATGCGTTCTCGTCGTCTTTGTCATTTTTCGACAAGTGTTTTTCTATCTTTCTAACGGACTCTATAGCGACCCGAGTAGCGATACGCGACAGTGTGCCGTTATCTCAGTGTGACGGTGTATGTCGCATTTCCTTTTTTTCTCCTGTAGAGCTTCTCAGCGCCTTGGTCCTTTTTTTGCTTCTGCTTCGTATACCGTTGCATCAGAAATAGCGAAATCTGCTTATGTCTGATTGGCGGAAGCCAACTATTCTAAGCGATGAAAACATGCTGAAGTGGTTTAGTTTGTAGTACTGACGTCCGCGACTGCGGTGACCGGGTCTGCGATGCGGGTAGCGATGCCCACTTGGATACGTCAGACCTCAAAACGAGGGCGGGTGGGGGGTAAGCTGCAGTAGGTACGGGCCGTCTTTAAGTTCGTAGTAAATATCTCATTTCGAGATGTGTCAGTTGGGCGCAGCAAAAACCCCTTCACCGACCCTGCACCAGCCGCGCAAAACGACAGACAGCACGTAGACTCAGTCCATTCGATAACAATCAGCCAGTAATAACAAGTATCTAGTTCGAGTGTCTATATCGTAGCTGCCGTTGCGTAACTGGGTGATAAAACAGGCCAAAAGTAGGAGCTATTTTATTCATAGCCTTCGCCAAAATGCTTTGCATAGATTCTTCTTTGAGGATGTTTCTAGGTAGTTTATGAGGCAGCAAACAATAATAACTGGTGGCGCTATCTATAGCAAAGTTTGTTTTCGAGAATCTGTTGTATCCCGTCGTGATCCCTGGGACGCGTGCATCTCGGACAGTAAAATAGTGAAGAGAGATCTTATTCGGGAATTCCTATGCGCTGAACGACTTACAAAGTCTGAAATTCTGTTTGAGTACATTTAATTACTTTAAAAAAGCCAGCATACTGAGAGATGTTGTAGGCATTAAGATGGAAACGAAAACAAAAATAAATTTTCCATGTACATATATGTTAAATATGGGTCTTTATTATTCAGAGAAATTTCACATCAGTGGACATCCGGTTCCATATGAGAGAGCGTTCTGTCAGGAAGAAGATCTAGTGCCTACAAGTCAGCATATTGTCCACAGCCAATAGACGATAACTGACATTTGGTGGGAAACAGTAGCAAATACTCTGCGTGCTAAACCAGCAGTGCGGGTTAGCTGCTCGCGTTCTTTTTTGTTTTTTTGTAAAAAAAAAAACATGAAATTTACCAGTCGTCCAGACAGACGGTGTCTAAATATTAACCACAATACGGCTCAGACTAAGCCGCTCGCCTTATTCACGCCATGTTGTCTTCGATAGCCAGCAAAGAACGTTGGCGACTTTTTCGGACATTATTGGAAATACAAAGGACTGCGGTCCTACGCATATCCGCTATGAGGAACCGTAGAAGTATTCTGTACTGTGTCTAGGTGGTAGAGTTTGATTTTTTTTTATACACTTAAATATATAGATGTGTATAGACTGAAACAACTAGCAATCGGCTGTAACCGTGTATAGAGCTGACTCGTCGCCATGGCCATTGCAGAGCAAAAAACGAAAGGGAAAATCGGTGCACTGTGCAAATTGAAAAGATGGCTATTTCAAACCATCGTTTCGTACGCTGATGCTGTTTCCTCTGGAGTCGATCGAGAAGAGTTGTCGACACGAGGATTGTAAATCTTCAATGGTGGCCAATATGGCTGGCCATATTCCGCAGAAGATAGAAGATAAAACAAAGTCGCTTTTATACTACCGGCATCAGGTTGAGAACAACAAGCATCGGTGCCACGTTCTTCCTCGAAATGCTATAACGTCTTGAAAGAGCGCAGAGACTTACTATTAGTAAAAAGCTAATAATTAGATAAAACTGTAGATAAAACATGACAAATTGCTGGAAGCAATCCGTTGTGGGAGTTACCGCCTGCTATAAGTAAATTATCGATAGTACTAATAATTATCATTATTTGAACTTGGCGGTAATTCAACTATATTAGATAATTAGTTTTTCCATTATCCTTTTTTTGTTTCCTAGTGACAAATGATGCGATCATTTAGAAAGTACCGCATTTGTCAAACTGAAACTGAGACACGGAATGCTGAAGCCGTCTGACACGAAACATGAAAACTTTGATTTCGGCTAAAAAAGCGGTGCTGGTAAAGCCGTGCTGGGCTGACTTGCTTTCATAACGAAAGAAGGACCATCACAAATTACGCTCGGTAGTTACGTAACACTACTATAATAATGTAGGGTCATAGAACCCCCGATTTCATTCAAACGTGTACGTTATAGTTAGGTCGCGAATGAAGCTGAGATGGTGGTTCCAGGAACCGGCAGAAAATAATAAGCCTGTTTTATCATGACCTTAAGTCGGAGAACTGGTGTTATCGATTCCTTTTACGAACGCGATTGTTTCAAAATTATGTTGTCCACTATCCGCAATTATATAGCCCAGCATATTCTCGCAGCCTTGTCCTGAAGTTAGAAGTCACTTACTCGTCCTAGCTTGTCTTCGGCATCTACAGAAAGTCTATATAGCAGAAGTCGTTAGTGCACTAATTGGAAATATGTTAAAAAATCGAGGCGTATCCATTTCTGTCCGGGTGTAGTAGTTAGGCATGTCATAGAATACTACCCGATTTATATAGCACAAAAAGCCTCTTTTTCAGTTTAACAAAATTCGTTTGTTTGAGGAACTCAGCCTTACGGAGTACAGCTGAACTCAAAAGCAGCTCCACTGTAACCTTGATTTTGTTCGCACATCTTCAATAAACAACAAAAGGAAGGGACCATAGATGGTCATGGTAGATTTCTCACTTTATGGCGATAAAGGAACCGTATAACGTTTTTGGCCGAAAGTGTCATTGGGCTGATCCTTTTATTTAACTGTTGATGATTCTTGACACTTAGTGACTTTCCGCAGCCAAAACTAAGTGAGTTAGCGCTCCAACAAAACGGTACCGTCTGCCGTCGCACGTTTAGAAAGCTGAAGTTACTGAAAGACAAATTTGATGAACGCATAACCTCTTACGAAACACCCATGATGTAGTCGTTCAGTCAATATCAGAGCTAAACCCTGCTGGATTTTTTCCTACGGGATTGTTTGAAAGCGAAACCTATAAAGTGGACTTCCTATCACTGGGGAACTACGACGTGTGTCGCCCGATTGATGAAAAAAATAATGGAAATTGCGTGCTTCGTTCTGAGCAAATCCCAAGGTGGTTGCCTAAACAGCAATGATCGAGGCATAGCGACAATAATCGCCGTTTATATAATGTTATTTTGCATAACGGACAAATTGATGTTTTCTATTACAATTAAGGATTAATATATTGAGCATAAGTTATCCTGTAGCTACACGCGTATGTTAACGTATATCTTGAAAAAGTTAAATAATATCGTAAAGTTCACCGTTTTACAGTCGTAGTCGATGTTTCAACTTTTACATGGGTTTCACAGGCCCTATTTATGAAATGTGGCCGTCGAGTAAGAAGGACGTTAACATTAACACAACTATAACATAGTGAAATATTACATTGGTTCGAATGTAACTTATTTTGGCAACTTCGCGGTTTGCTTTAAAACTTGGCGCACTGTTCTTTTGGACATTTCTCGGCATTTGTTGCCGTGCTTACATGTTATCTCAGTTTGTTCTCCATGCAATTAAATGGATGGTTCGATATCTGTCACGGCCTTTTCTGTTGTCTCTTTACCGCTAGAGAATATGCAAGTAATACACCAACGAGATCCGGGTAAAAGAGATTGAACGATGTGCACCGTTTGTTGAATTTAGCGTTACTGTATTACAGCTGAAGGTCTCTATTTCAGGCACAATGCCATGTTAGGCTCTGAGCAATTGTAAAATACAAAGTACGATGATGAGTAAAGATACTTGGCCGACTGACCTCAAACGCCGTATGCACAGATACGAGTTTTTTTTTTTACCTTACTGTCATGAATACCTTGGATTAGCATCACTGAAAAATGTAATTTATTGAAAGCAATAAAAATTAAATTAGGTGAGTTCCATAAGAGCTCAAAACAAATCCCTTGTCAAACGTTTGACCGGATGCATATCTATGCCCGCGCGATGCGGAAAAGGTCATCTCTCCATCATACAAGTACTGGGTAGAAGAACAATTTCGTTCAAAAGTCTTCTCTTTGATAGAGTACAGCTACACTCCGGATAAGCCTCAGTATAGGCAGCTTATAGGATCTAGTAAGATCTGAAAAGGGTGCTCTGAAACGCAGTGAAGTAATTAATGCAGACTGGGTTGAGTATAAAGGCCCTAGAAATGCAAACGATGGCCGAATTATAACCCAGACCTGTTCCATCGAATTAGAACTCTTCCGATCTAAACAGGTCGGCTGGTAGGACGAGCGATTCACGATGAGAGAAAGAGATCTGAATCTGATGAGTTCATCAATGGATTACCTTGACAGACGCTTCTCTGCGATTCGCCTCCTGCCCAAATCGTGTACGGAAATAAGAATTCAGTTTTGATCAATGTGTGGTATACAAGGCAGGCCTCCTAACAGATATGTGTACAAATGCAAATGTAAAATGATAACTTTTCAAGTCGTGAGAGACCTTGCCTTTGTCCGTACGTTTTACTTTTGTAGTTGCTTGCCTTTTGTAAATGCGGCCTTTTCTTTTTTTTTTTTTGAAAAACACTGATAAAACGCGCACAAATATACCATACGAACATGTGCTTTAACAAAAACATTTTTATGTATTGCTTAATATACATTAGTCGAGGTAAATGTTCTCACCGAGTTAGCATTAATTATTGCAATGAAAGTTCTATAAACATGGCCGTAAAACTTTGTACACGGACAGCTCGATTGTGTTTATTTTTTTGTAAATGAACCTATATTCCATTATTACTAACCTCGTTACCGACAGGGGCAAATTTTATCACCGACGGAGACACCCATACTCCTGCGTGCCCAATTGTATAATGCATAGTCTCAATTGAGTTGCCCTCGCTAGATAGCTAGTGCTGGTTTTAGTCGAATATAGTCACAAAATAGCTAATTTTGTTTCTTTTAAAAAACCTGGTTTCTAGAAACCGATCGAGATGATTACCCACCCCTAACCAGCTCCAGAGATATTATCAATCTGGCTGACACTTGTTAACCAAACCAACGAGCCATCTTGTCAAGGCGTAACGGTGTTTCATGTACCTAAATTCGTGTATCTATTAAAGATTTCCCCATCATATGGCGATAGCAACACAAACATGACATAAAACGTATATATTGGGAAGAATGAGCACATAACAGTCAGCTTGTGGACATGGTGTCAGAGACGTTACAATCAAATGCATCTATCAATCATACGGTTTAGGGTATTGTTTGTGCAGCGGAGCGCGTCCGACTTTTCCACCAACTGGCGAAATCAAAGCAATAGCTTGCTTACCGCATACGATGGATCAAATGCCTGCTCAGACGGCATAGGACATTCGGCCCAATCTGTCTAGAGTCCGATGGGCGATCGATCACTAAAATTGGCTTCTTCTGTCCAATCAGTTGGGATCATACGAACAAAACTGGTCAAGAAACGAGAAGTAGCTACAGAATCTCAGTGATATTGTACGGAAACGACAGTAAAGGGATCTATCGATTTAGCGACGCTTCAGATGCTTAGGAAGCGATCACCACGGGTTTACTGCGCGTAACACTCGTTACGCCATGGACGATTATCCGTAAGTTGAGCTTGGACAAGTTAATTCTGTTCGAACGTATTTACTTCTAAACTGTGTAAACTGTGAGTAGTTTTCTAACTGGCCGATTTCCTTCAACTCAGTGAAATAAATTACTTTTACGCGTGTTCCCGCTGTAGGGGATGGATAGTGGTCTTCGTTAGAGATGTATTGAAAACTGGGTCTGGGAAAAATTTTCGTGCGTCATTAGTAAACGTTTTTATTCAATAGTTCCTCTTCTGCAACGCCTAATCGGCTGTGTCTTTCTGGTTAGTTGTTCGCTGTTTGTATAAAGCGTAATAACTTACATTACTGACGAATGTGCAGGTACAAGAGCGCATCAGTATAGAACCTGAGGTCCTGTGGTTCGGGAAGGCCGGCGCTATTGTTTACCGCATCTCATGGGCAGTGATAGTAGTTGACAATTGTACATCTCCATTTAATTGTGCTTGACGAAACAATATAGTTGAACGTAGAGAATTTAACAGGGACTAGCATATGTCCTTTTGTATATCGCCTAATATATTCGCATATGCTCAGACACTAACAGATCAATCGGATTCTGCTGTCTAGCAGAAATTGCAAATAAAATTTAATACGATGCGAACACAATTATGAGGAAACATGAAAGTTATATCTGCTTGATCATTAATTGACCCCCATATTGTCGTCACGGTTTCCCAACGCGTCACCGCTGCACTATGGGGGGGGCACATCTAACAACGAACCACGCTACTTGAAAGCTTGTACTGTGAATTATTTTTGCGTTTTTTTTTTTTATCACTGGGCTAGTGCCTCTCGTTAACTAAACGGAAATTAGACACGCAAAATTTAGGGAGCCATTTCCTGTCTATAGCTAGGGTAACTTCTTACACACAGAGTCTTTTTCTCCTCGACCTACAATTGTTGTACTGCTAGTTGCTGGCAATGTTCTAAAAGACAACTGTCCCCCGTGCAAGCCGTCCCTACGTTACTAGTTCATAGTAAGTATCGGTAATGTATATCACGAAATTCCTTGTTTTTCTTACGATGGGGTCTTCGGAAATATTTCGAACGGGCCCTTTTTTGAGTCGGAATCCACTGCTGTGAGCCACTCGCTGCTATGAAAACAAAAATGTGATTTGTTTATTATTATTGTTTACGACGAGCCGCCCTGAACGCTTCCTTTTCGGTCGGCAAAACTCGCGCAGTGTTGACGAGAACTAAATAGAGTTATATCTACAGCCACAGATGATACTGCAAATGGGTCGTTTTTATGCGCTGTTATAAAAACAGTGTCCACTTAGCAGTAAGTTTCGTTTCACTATTAACATCTATTAAAGCAAAGTTGTATAGCATTTCTTTACACCGAGTTCATGATGAAGAGATATTCATAGAAGCTGTTTTCATCGTTAATTAATAATAAACGTTGTACTTAAATTACATTTTTGGCAAATGCAAAAGTTTTTTTTTATCCCATGGCTGACAGGGTGGATCACAGCTACGTCATTCAATGCGGATCGAAATGACACTCTACGGTAGGTGTTGAGATACGCTTAGTTGTTTACGACGCCAGCCTTCTGCCGAAAACGACGCGATATACACTTCTGACATACGGCGTGTCCTTCTCAGCGTGTTCTGTGCGGAAAGCGTTTTCGCCCCTAAGTCACTCGCACCACAGCTTTGTCTCCCTTTAATACTTACAGCCGATTGATCGACTTCTGGCCGTCGGGCAGCAGCGCATTTCAGCTGGACGCACAGGCCGCTGAGACAGTAAAGATCATAGAGGATTCCGCCACATCAAAACCACCGAGTAGGAATTAATCCTAGACCACAGATACACAGAATGAAGGTAGAAAACGTGTGAATTATGGTACAGGAAACTGGTCCCAATTCGTCTGCTACTGGGCTGCTTTTGAGTTAGCCTTGTCTGACTTAGAACTGTGGCTATAAAGGAACTCTGTTATTTCTTCGTCGTGGTCGGTCGGTGAGGAAGTTGTTTCGTCGTTACTTTTCGAAGAGCTCTGTAACTGTCGCTTGCTCATATCTCCTGCAAGTCTGCCCAAGTCGGGCGTCTTCCTACCCTTAGGCTCACTGTGACATCACTCAGGTATGTCTTTCAGGCAGGCCTAACGCGACCCAAATCGCTGACAGCCATAACTTGATACAGTATCACGATCAGGGCTGAATGTTTTTGCGAGAGGGAAAAAGGAAGCTTTAGAGAAAACCAGGTAGAGTTGGTCAAGCATTTGTGCAATATGCTGTCGGTTTATGATTTTTTTCTTCAACAATGCGTTTCCTTTGCACACAAACCTCTAACTTCATTATTAGTTATGAATGATGAAACGTCAGAGTCACAATTTGTATCAATGTTCTGTTTCTGTATAGAGTCTTCTTGGAATTAATCAAAGTGTACCTGTTTGAAATGTGGACAAGGTGTTCATTGGAAAATGTATTTCTGCGACGCTCATTGTAGAATTGCGCTTTGCTGCACTGGTTTCTTCTGCCGATATAATGAGACGCCAGAGTACAGTGTACAAAAGTTCCTACATGCATTTGGTACGAGTATCCTAAAATTAAACATTATCCTAACATCCGCTCTATCTCGTACGTTAGCGCGGTCGCACGAGCACACCCTATATACACACACATACATTGAAATTTGCCGATAAAAGTGAATGGTAAATCTTATTATCAGGCATTATCCTTCAATTGCACTTGCTTTTATCAGTTAATTGCTGCTTCCTAAAATCCAGTTTATCAAACAGTAACCAACCAGCCAGCCAGCCAGCCTGTGTAAACAATACGGACGAAGACAGGGCCTGAAATGCTGATAGCGTCAAGCACCAGTTCGAAACTATACAGCTAGCTAATATCGTGTACTACTGTTTTCCGTTACCAGCCAGTAGTCCCAGCAGTGACCCAGTGGTCATGACCGGTATAGCTGGTCACGAGGGTAGTACTCCTTCGTATCACGATTTTCCGGTGACCTGATTATGCGAAAGTGAAAAAATGTCCATTTTATTAAATGGCTTTTGACGCACTTTCCTTCTGCAGTGCCATCGGCACGTCTAGACGTCCATTGAATGCAAGCTGACTTTAAAACAATTTTTGTCATTTTTTGCGTAGGGTCTTCTTGTGTGATCTTGAACCTGGTTAGTAACGGAATGGGACCTTTGTGTAGCGACTACGGACTGGGCCGACGTTCAGGTGATCGGCCACAATGTACAGTTGCACTAATAACAATCAACTGTGAAACTGCCATTCTAAAGAGTAACGATTAATATAACATGACATAGTAAACACGTGGTTTGAGCAGACGACAGCAGGATAGAGTGAAATACTTCTGAGTAATCAGAGCTTTAGATTGTATCTACAATAGACGTCAAACGCATGCAGAAGTGTTAAAATGGCAAGTCTAAATAGACTCGTCATCTTTGCGCATCGTTATTACTGGTCGCCCTTCGCACTTTGGTCAAGTACGTCGTCGACTAGCTAAGATCCATTGCTGGGTTTGTAACGCCTTCAGAAGGAAGAGAACTCTCGAACAAAAAATAATTCGTATATATATAGATATATATATATATATATACGTAGGCAATTTAAAAGCAATTGATTTTCTAAAATAAATAAATCTAATCAGGCCAATTAGATCGGTCTTCGTACGCTGATGTATATATATATATATATATACGAATCGTAATGTTCTATTCAATCTATAGAATAGTTTGTTTTCTATTGTAGCCACACTGAGCTATGGGTCGTTGTGTTGCGTGCAGTTGGTAGCCCAGCCCAGTCAGTAAAAAATGGTCAATGTTTTGATTCTCAACAGGAAGCTTTGAGTGATTAAGTCGTCTTCACACTATACCCAATACGTATTATCATTGTAGATCATTCGATCGAGCTTCTATTTACAATGGGCTCAAGCAAAGTTCATCTTTGTCCCTTCTCCATTTTTTCTGGCTCTCAAGTGGACCGATTTATTTGTTTGTTAAAAGCTTAAAATCTAACGACGACGACGACGACGACGACCCAACCGAGAATCATCGTGATCGAACGTTCTTCTAACGAGTGATCCAGCTGATGGTGTTGGTGTCCCTGTGATCTTCATGCTCATAGGGCAAGTCTCGATAAGCGACGTACAACCATGTACACAGGTTGAAGGATCGGCAGAGTCGCCATATTTACTCCTGAACAAGACGGAAGCGGGACAATGAACGGTAGTCGGAAAAAAAACGATATGAAGGAACATCTATACAGATACACGCATGTGTATAAACTGTTCGTACCTGGCTTATTCTTCTTGTGTCGGATTTGTTCCCACTGTTTGTTGTCGGTCCCACCGATAGATTTTCCGTTAAAACAATACCTGCAAATTTAAAGGATGAGGCCAATTTTACTCTGCGATCCATAGTCAAATGATGCCGGTAACCATCGATAGGTCCTACATTGGCATTTTGCTTAGCGTCGATGTTAGTATTGTGTTTCGTATTCTGTATTTTATTTCTTTTGTGCTTGCATGTTTGTACTATACCGATTATACACTATTCTGATGATAAGTACCGTGTGGTAACGAGCACGATGTATCTGGTGATAGCGTTAGCTATTGAAATCCTGTGTTTACCCAAAATGGACGAAGACACCCATTTAATTTTTAGCTATTCAAAATAATTATTTCAAATATTTCATTCGAATGAAGAAAGCATCGTATTGAAAATGCTTAGAAGGTTAGCATGAAATGAACGCACCCTTAGTTTCTACTAGCTATCAAGGTTTAACACCCTTGATAGCTAGTAGAAATTTTCAAAGAGTTTTTCGGGCACCTTCAGTCAAGACGCTATTAGATATTATAGCTGGAAACGTCTATTTTGCTGCCATTATAATGGCATATAAACATTTGAATCGTTATCATGAACACTGGAAGAAGGTAGTGCCGCTGCATCCGATTAATGAGAAGATTTATATCTCGAATTTCTTGTTTCGCTCTCCTAGGATCTTCTCTCTTAGTGGATTATTTGGCTATGTAAATTGCTAACGGATTCACATTTCGACGGATCCCTTCACGGACACGTTCTAACTGCGGGGTACGTCAAGTAAGATTAGGCAAATAGGATATAGTGCAAAGGTGTCATCGTTATTTTGGCATCTCCAAACCATCCTACTGCTATCATACGAAACACGCTAGTGGTAATCTACAAACACGACGTAAGTATATCTAAAAACTAGACTTCAGTAACGGTGTCAATCATCAAAGTGTCATGAAGTTAAGTGACAAACTGGTTAACTAGAAATCAACTTATTCGACAGTCTATCATGAGCTGGGTCAGGTAGCGAGGGCAAAAAACTTGTATTAAAACGGATAGCTACCGAATCACCCCGCAAATTGTCGCTTGGTTTATGTTTGGTCCCTTTCGAAACTCTCCTTAATCCCGACCCTTGAGTCCCCGCTCAAAGATGACCGGCTATTCTAATGAAAAGAAAATAAACAGAAGAACGAAACATGAGTGCTAATATATATCGCTCCTATCAAACTAACTACACAAGGCAATGCAATATAAAAGCGCTATTCCACAAATAAAAGTTAAACTTTCGAGGCAACAGCGAAAATCAGTGGTGAAGATGGTGACAAACATCAAAATGTCATAGGAAGCATAGATGCTGCCATCTGTAAAAGAACGACGCGGCTTGTAAAAGTCATATCGTTCGAGACGTAATGAAGATTAGTCAGCTCAGCGATTGTACTTCAGTGACAATATCAGTGAGTGCTGATGATCATGATGTCAACTGTCGATCGAGCATTGAAGACCATTTCTGTGACTTCTCGGACATGTGGGCCCATTCCCTCGCCGAAAAAAGCCCAACTGGTGTGGTTGCGTCATCCTTGACAATACCGCGCATACTACAACCAAAAGTCGGCTCCCACCTTTCCTTCCGTGCCGCAGGTAACGAAGCTGTGTGCCAATAGGAACTGCCTATAGCAGGCGGAACGCATGCAGAATAGCAAGCGTAGGTAGCGAGCAGGGAATATTGCTTATGTGAGCGGCGACGGCAGAATTACTTGCACAATTGAATCTGATCATGTGAGCTCATGCACACGCTCACACACACACACACACACACACACACACACACACACACACGCACGCATTTACAATAGTAGTGAAACTGCCGACCGAAACGACACATGTCCTGCCATCATCGAAGACCGGATGAGCTCGTATTGACAACTGTGCACTTTGAACACTGACAATTTTCAGCTTCAGAAAGGTCACAAGTGTGTCCGATCTCCGTTCAGTATTGGAGAAAGTTCGAATATCGAGGAATAGGATATAGGATTGTTTCGTTATGACTGCTGCCTCGCCATTTAGTGAGGACGCAACCTGCTGAAGCAGTATTAGCAAAATAGCGGTACTCCTATTCGCAATATCAATCGTGTACGTTCATAAGGAAAACGAGTTTGGAAAAAAGCACAGAAAACATAATTTTTAGTTTATCCGATAGGTGATCGTTTGTCGGAAAGTTTGAAGCTTGGATACGTGGCCAGTGTGTGAAGAGGCCGCATCTCAACGTGATGTTTCGGCTGGCTAGATTTACTGATGCGTTCTTTCCTTTCTGGTGAAGTTTTTCTCCGTATAAAGTCTGTATCGTGTTTTGTTGCCACTCTCGGAGGAACTCCCATCGAGAAAAACAGGCTGTAGCAAGCAGGGTGGTCCAAACAAGGGTGGCATACGTGCTTTTAGCCCCGCTATCGAATACCGCGTTCGCTTTTTCGGCTTTCTGCTTAGCACTGCGGGTGGTTTTGATGAGGTGATAATCTGCGTTCGGACCCAACTTCGCTGAGTTGTCTGCATTTTGCTTTTGGCAGTGGCAATTCGACAAAGCGGTTGATGTATACTAAATATATTAACGCGTCTGAAGCGTTTCTCATAATTGAATTATGAATGCTAACACAAGTCACAGCAGGATCACTAGTCAAATGAGAAGCTGACCACCATGCTTATCAACCGAGAAAACTGGGTTGGAAAAGAATGGAAATCTCAATGATTATTATTTTAATCCTTTATTTTTTGCAGTTGCTGTTATTGACACCAACGTAAAAATAGACGCCTCGAAGACGAGCGTCACCGTCCACTTCCACCAAGCTTCCCAATCCAGCCAAACTAGCGGACAGAAACGAAATTAGAGGACAAAACCTAATAAGCAAACTAATACTTCTCGAGCAATTATTTTATGATCAGCTCCCCGCATCGCTACATAGGACCAACGTAAATATTACAACACTCTTTAGACGTGGTATACTCGAATCGGCGTCGCCGCTCTAACAAAAAACGGCCGCGCATAAATTTAAGGTGAAAGTCGTAATTTATCCTATTTGATCTGTGCTCTAAGTAATAAGTGTTGTTTGATTTCCAATTACAGGATGACTCGACTCCTTCCGGATCAGCTTTACACTGACGAATTACTCGACGGCTATAAAACTGACGTGCCAATCGTGGCTAAAAAGAAACCCCGCCATGGATTAATGGCTGGTATGTCAATAAGGGCCGTCAGCGATGTTGAAGTTCAGTCATCGCTGAATCAACGCCATCAAAGAAAAGCGAAAAAAAGGGTCGTAAGGTTAGCGGACGTTAAGGCTATGCACGATTACCACAGCAACGGGGCACATTTCAACAATCTTAGCCAGCTTCGTGATCCTTTGGAACGGAGCGTTACTCTCGACCTCATCGACGCACCGAATCGTCGAGAACTAGGGAAGCCACAGCTCAATGTAAAATCTCACAACAATATACAGCCCCACCCGATGTGGACGACAGAACACACATCGATGATCGATCTCGTCGATTTGGGAAGGGAGAGCGGCAGTCCCTTAAGACACAACTGTTTTAGTGAAGGTGAAGGAGCTGAAATTAGGAACTTCGGTTTTATTCTTGGACCCGGTTTTGTCCAACGAAAAAAACTCACGACGACAAAGAGCAAGGCTTTGCCTCTATTAGCACAGATTGTCAAGCCTCTCATGCACCCATTGAGCAAATCATCAACTGATCTTCGTGCACCCAGCTCGATCGGTTCGGTCTCCAAATGGGCAGAGATACTGCACAACAATCAGATCATCTTTTGTGGAGCGGCGACCAATTTCGGCTGCAAGACATTGTTGAACGATGAACGTCGTGACGCCAGTCCAGCCCGCAAATCGAATGTGATAAGGGCTGCTACTGACATAAACCTGGGTAAGTTTACCCCTTGAAAAACGATGAAAACCAGTAATTAGGACTAATTCTAGGGGGGATCATTCACTACCATCATCTTGAGGAAGTATCTCTCACGTGCTAGCCTATCTGCAGTAGACAAAGTAAAAATTGCAATTTTGAAATACTGGTACTTTCTCAGATCCAAGAATCAACTCACGTGGGCGACGTCCGTAAACTACAAGCCAAACGTAATCCTATCCTGAGAAATCGTCGTCTTCCGTAAATGCTAGTCAGGATCGTTAAACTATCTGTAATTTAATACAACTTGCTGATATTAGTATTGCCAGTGGTCCTTGCGTTTCGAGCGCCGTACGTTATGTCCGGAACACGGATCGCGAGTTAGCTGTTGTAGTAGCGTGCCCCGGAATTGTATCTCCAGGTAATGAGATGTCTGTTCTGTTTTTCAATTTCGCTTTCGCTGCTCGCACCGTTCCACTATGTCTTATTATGATGTGTTGCAGCTAAACGGTATGAGTGTGAACCGTCAAGAAGGACAAGGGCTTTCTTTGCGCGCGTAATGCGACGTCCCTGATCTAAAATAGGCGCGAGACCCGCTGACTCAATCGGTGCCAACGAGAGCGATTGTCAGCCAATCAACCACCGATCAACCAGCCAGTCTGACCGTTGTTTTAACCTAATATGACAAAATTGCTTTAATCCTTTCGTCTCTGGCGTCATCTAGAGCTGAGCTATTCTTGTTATTGGGGTAACTCTAATTACTGTAGATTAAACAGAGGTAAAATGGTGGTAACCATATTGATGTAGCTGTCACCGCCGTTGACACTACGACGATCTCTGCCCACAAACAGTGGACTAATAAATCCGAGCAACGTCTCAGCGCAATTAATATTGACTGCAAGGTAATGAGATAAGCGGCGTAGGTCTTGAGTCAAATTCGGTGAAGTCGATACTATAACAGTAGCCATTTTGCTTGTTATCCTTATAGACGTTAGTGGGTGACCCTGCTCTGTGAACCCGTATTGTGTGCTCGTGCTGTTATAGACTGTGCACAATTCGGAACAGAACGTTCAGAAGATCGGAGGGATCAGGAAAAAGAAATCCACAGATACAGCAACAAATAATCTACAACATTTCAAATAATTCTAGAGACATAGTTTAGGCAAGAGTCTGAATATGTATTTGTATTTTTAGCGGACCAGAACGGCGAACTGTGGTAAAGTCCGACGTGTAGCATGCGCTGATGCCTTCGACACAAATTATTACTTAGCCATTTATTAGTATTTGCTTAAGGTGTTTTTTTTCTTTGTTTCAGTAATGCTAAAAGGCCCTGCCTTTAAGATGTGACCTTTTTGAGAAGCGAAACCCTGTATGAGATTAACAATAGTTGCTTTTGAAATCAAATGCAGCTTTGAAAGATCACAATTGTATGCAAAATGTGGGGAATCTGTTATCCCTTAAGCGTCAAAAAACGACTGTACATACCCAGTGCTCACACCCTATTTGTCTAGTGAAATACTGCGAAAGGACACAAAATAACACGTACATAGGATGTGATCGAGCACTTGTGGCTACAATCATGTCCTGGCTATTCATGGCTATCCATGCCTGGCTATCCATGCCTTATCGTTTAACAGGACGCACTGGGCATAGTGTCGTAGATATTTAGGTTTTAGTGTTGAGCCGAACTTCAAGTTACAACGGCGAAGACAATTTTATATAGAACATTTTTGCAAGCTAGTGCTCATCAAGACACCGATTCGCAGATTATTTTCTCTGAATGTTTTTTTCCCAGCCGAATATGTCGGTGATGATGCGTTATGAAGACATCTCTAATCCAACGATGACAACGGTTTTCTTCGCTATATCAATACCATCGAATGACTTATCGAACCTAATAGAACTCAGTGGGCCGGACCCACAAGCCCAGGATAATCTGTTAAGATGCCGAAAATTCCTTCGTGCTCAGCTGGTACGCAGTGATTTGTAAGCAATGATTTTAAATAGTATAATTCAGCTTAGGATGTTTTCCTCTGGGCACCAATAGAAAAAGTTCGCATAACGAGACTACATGGGAAAACGGAATCGTAAAAGTTCTCACTCCGGCTATAATTTGCAATCAAATGAAGACCGGTGCAAAAAGCTCAGCTCAGCTCACCTCACGCGTTAACTTCAATCAGTTCTAGTTTCTGCACGATGTATCATATCGTTTCGGTATTCTGGATTGGCGAATTGGTCTTTTTCGTGACACCGCTGCGTGTCACGATTGTTTTGGTTATTCTTCTTTAGCAGACTATGATCGTTCGATGACCAATGCATGTATGTGTAAGTGACCGAATTCGGTCTTCCGAAAATTTATTACTGGCTTCCTTAGCCATAGTAATTAATACACGGAACCGACTCTGCTTTACTATGTGACAATCAAAATTTTTACAATTTCAATATGGCGTTGAATATAAGCACAGACGACAAGTGGTTTCGCTGTTGTGCGAATCGAGATACGATAGCCTATCACGATCGGCGTGTGTAATGTATGACCATCCAACAGTCGATAGAAAATCGGTAAACAGGAAGAACAGCTGAATGCTACAGGACAAACAACAAAAAGGGACGATACGAAGGCCACTTATCGAATTAGTTAATTTAGATTAGAAATAACCAATATCGAACACTGATATGGCCATAAAATGTTCTATCGCTTCATCGTCTAGTCATGAAGGAGCTGACGATATAGAATCATAGCTTATATCTACACTATTCGATAGTACGATATGGTTCTCGGGTACGAGTTAGTAACGTAGCGTATCTAGGTGTCTTCTCCGGCCTATACCGCCACTGTGTCAACATTCGGCACTCATTCCCTGGAATGGCATAGGTAATGAGATCTCGTACGATGGCTGCAACGAAGCGGACGTATCTGCAACGAATTATCTAGCTTGATAAATCGATGCAGGATCACTCGTAAAGATGCGCTATTGCCTTAATAAACTCTGCCATTATTTACTGTAATATTCGCCGTATGGGGTTTTACCCTTGTCCTTACAAGAAATTTGACTTTTCGTTTTACCTACCCCGAGTGTCCACAGTGGTTAATTGTCTTTATCACGGGGCTATCACGACTACGATACAACGGGACAAGCTAGTTTTTAATGGCCGAACGTCAATAGGCGATAGCCAGGCGTTATAGATAGCTATAGCTCCTTCTATTTTGTACTTTATTTTGTAAGGTTTATGAGTCGATCGGATTAAACTCTTCGCCACCTGACCGTAGCAATCATATCCCCGGACGCCTAGCTGTTGTGACAGCATCGGACCGTCGTTAAAAGGAGTGCTATATTTTTACGTTAATTCTAATAGTTAGTTTAATTTTAGGTTGATGACGTCGAAGAAAGCCCAAAAAAGAAAAGACACCCGCACAGCTACAGCTGAAGAAGCATGATGTTTATTATTGAATACTGATAACTGCGTGCTTCAGGTTAGGCGGTTGTAAGCCTCAACGCTGAACGGAATCGTAGAGCGTATCGTCGGATACCCTCGAGCGGTCGCTAAATAAGGCTGTGCTCCATCGATTTGATCTTTGAGGTATTTCGGAATCTTCCTTCATCGTCTGGGCTCATTTATGATCTATCTGTGGCCGGTTGTATTTTCGCTTCTTCTGATACTGCCGCCACTGCGCGGGATGCTTATATTATTGCCATTACTGAGATAATTTGTTCGGGTCACGACGTTGTCGAGGAGCCGCGACAGCCAGAGAGCCGAGTCTTTCACGTGCGCACACGTACTTGATCGTAGAAACAGCGCAAAAAGGGCATTGCCGAAGCTAGCCAATTAACAAGACAACAGCAACAACGGCTCTTCCAGTATTACCATATCTGTACGCATTCGCGACTGTGGTGGCAGCAACAACATTAGCAACAATAACCGTTTTTGTCAGAGGTTGAAACGGAGGAAATGGAATAGGGCGGGTAGGTAGATGCAGCCTCGGTAGATCGTTGGTTCTTTTGCACACCTCTACTGGTACTTTGATGCGATCGATCTGAGGTTCAGAGTGTGATGACTGCGAAATCATCGTTCCTCTCTGTTATTTCTATAACAGACCTTCTTCGTTTTCTGTAGGGTTCGCCTTGTACCTGTTAACTTCAATGAACTACGCTTAGGAACTCTGTTTCTGGCCTGCTCTGCGCCCTTGTATCGGCCGTGTACCTGAGAATCACAACCCGCCTGGACGCTGTTATGATGACGGCACTGGTGGTGACGAAACCCACTGTCGCGTCAGAGACGCCTCGCCACGCGCTCGGTATTTTCTATTACAACAACAACAACAACAAAACCGTCATCATCGCTGTCGCCAGCATCATGATCATCGTCATGATCGACGCGACATGAAGAAGTAGCGTACTGCCATATTTTCCGGCCTTTCGGGGTGGGGAAAGCGAATCACAGCAGCGACGATCGAGCGGCAAGGCAGGCGCACTCAGCAAGAATGTTCGGAGATCTTTTCAACGAAGTCAGTGGACGTACGCGAACACTGTTCACAGCAAAAAAAAATGGTGAAGTTAGTTTACGTAAGCCGCCGCCGCCGCTGCCGTTGCTCCTGGGTCGACTGGCCGCCGCCACTATCATCATGCCGGCGTTACTCACTCTCGGGGTGGGGTGGGGTGGGATGGGGTGGGGGTGGGGGTCGGAGGTCACGACTTTTCTGCTCACCTTCGGCGCGGCTGCAGACACGAAAATTGAAGCGATACGAAGCGTTACGAGCAACAGCCAATAGAGTCGATGCACGAAGTGCCGGTGTTGAGCGTCGACGAACGCAGCAATATGGGAACGAGTACCAGACAAACAGATCCAATGAAGAATGGCGACGCTACTCGGCCGGACAAACACCATAGCTGCCGAGTAAGCCAATGAGTCAATGGCTACGTACGGTAGATATACTGCGGCAGCAATGAGCCCAGCCAAGTGCTTGCCTTTGGCGTGTCGATCTACTCGCAGCCGGAGAGGTTACCAAGCAGCAGCTACAG